GGAACACCTTGTGGACCGAATATTCAGGAGGAGGCTTCGAAAGAAACTGAGGTGAACTTTTTCGACGAACACCTTGGAAACACAGAAGGGAGGGTTATCAACAGGAAGATAAATGAATCGTACACGGATCTCAGTTTCGCTAGCCCAATAGCTAGTTCATCCGAAACCAGCGAAACTAGTAAACTGGAGAAGAACGCACAGTCACTCAAAAGATGTGTGACAACAACGAGCGCTAAGTTCAGTCGCAAGCAAAATGTAGTTATAAAAGGAGTACCCGAATCAACGGCAACAATTCCAAAGGAGAGAGTTAAGCATGACTTAGACCTTCTTCAAGTGTATGCGAAAGCACTGTTAAGAGGCGATTAGTCACTAAATGTTCTCAAAGCATTCCGAATAGGGAAGAGTCAGTCAGTATCTGATTCAAATTCCCGGCCTCGACCCCTAAAAGTCATTTTGGAGACTGAAGCACAGGCCCAGCTCCTGTTACAGAGAAAATCATCTCTACGGGGTCAGCATCCTGAAGTTTTTTTCAGCCGGATTACGAGCCAAAAGAGCGAATGAAAATGAGAGAGCTGATGACGGAGCTGGAAAAGCGGAGAAACAGCGGCGAAACAGCGGCGAAACACACCTACAAATCAAGAATGGACAAATAATTCAGGTCCAAAGGACAATTCTCTGGCCGAAGGCCGTCATTCTGACAGCCTAACCGATGCAAAGGTGCCAACTCCTGAGGCTGCTCGAACCAGTGGCCGCTGTCTAGAAATCTATTACACTAACTGTCAGAGTCTTCTCAACAAGCTAGATGAACTCAGATTACTTGTCTCTGAACAGAAGCCACACATAATTGTCCTAACAGAGACATGGTTGACTGATGAAATTAGTAGTAGCGAAGTCAGAATCGAAGACTACCAATTGTTCCGTTGTGACAGATTTCACCGTAGAGGAGGAGGCACAGCTATTTATGTGTCAAATGAAATTGTGTGCTGTCAACGAGAAATTTCCGATGGTGCGCCCCGAAATTTTGAAATAATTTCATGCAAGATATGCATCAAACAATTACCGACACTGAACCTGTGTGTCGTCTATCGGCCTCCCAGTTCGAATGAATTCGCCGATATGGAATTACTTAGTGCATTGGAGTTGTTATGTAAGCAGGAGAAATTACTAATTCTGGGTGACTTCAACGCTTCAGAAAATAGACTGGAACATTCCCCTAACAAACGTCCCGTCCACGTCATTTGACCACAAGCTACTACAACTCTCCCTGAATGAATACCTCATTCAGCACATAAAATTCGGAACAAGAATGAGAGAAGGACAACGATCTAACTGTTTAGATCTCGTTTTCAGTAAAGAAGAAGGACTCATAAATGAAGTGAATCCACAACCTCCACTCGGTTTAAGCGATCATATTGCTTTTACCTGCGTGTGCTCTCTCCTATCCAACCAACAACCAAAAATCAAGACGCGCAGAAATATTTGGAAGGGTGACTTTAACGCAATGAGACGCACTCTTTTGGAGGAAACCTGGTTGGTCAACGCAGAAGATTCAGACGAATTTTGGCAGTACTTTCGCGGGATTATAGAGCGTCTGATTGATTCCCATTGTCCAAGAAAAATGACAAGACCATGTATGCGACCGCCGTGAGTCAATCCAACGACAAAAAAGACCACGAAGAAGAAACAGAGACTCTGGAAAAAGTATTTGCAACTTCGAGATTCAAGGTCACTCGCCGAGTATAAGGATCAGCGCAATAAATGCCGCAAAGAAATACGGGTTGCTGGAACTTCTTTCGAGCGCCGACTGATAGCAGAATCCATTACATGTCCCAATAAGTTTTACGGGTACATAGGAAACATAGGGTCAAAATTGCGTGTCTAAAGGATAGCCTCGGAAACTTAGTAGTTGAATGGCCACAGAAAGTGCGATTACTGTCTCACTCTTTTCAATCGGTTTTTACGGAGGAGTCCCTAGAAGACAATCAGCAGTTTGAAATGGACCGAGACCGCCGGGAGCTTCAAATGCGCCAAGATATTGCCGTCATTAAAACCGTCGCCTTTTCCGTCGAAGAAGTCAGACGCGTTCTCAGTCAAATAAAACCTCATAATTCTCCTGGACCCGACGGAATTCCCGGGCTGATTCTTAAGGAGCTATCAAGGGAGCTGTCAAAGCCTCTTTCGACTCTCTTTGAGCTGTCAATGAGAACAGGAAGGCTGCCCTCACAGCGGAAGACAGCTAACCTCGTTCCATTGCATAAGGGAGGTAGCAAGATGACAGCAAGCAGCTTTAGGCCTATTAGCTTAACTTGCCTCCCTTGCAAAACGATGGAAGCTATAGTAAAGAACGCTATACAGCAATTTTGTGAAGAAAATAACGTCTTGCAGGATTTTCAGCATGGCTTCCGGAGAGGACGTTCCTGCCTCTCAAATCTGCTAGCTTGTCTGGAGATCTGGACCAGGGCTCTAGAAGAGGGTTTTGAGGTCGATGTCGTATGCATCGATTTCCGCAAAGCTTTTGACACTGTCCCGCACCAACGGCTTCTTCACAAACTGAGATCCATCGGCATCCGGGGAGATCATCTGGACTGGATAAGGGCGTTTCTGGTTGGTCGGGAACAACGTGTCTGTATCGGAGATGATATTTCAGAATGGGTGAATGTGACCAGTGGTGTGCCGCAAGGCTCAGTTCTGGGACCATTGCTCTTCATCATTTACGTTAACGACAGCCTTCAGGAACTCGACTGCGGCAAAATAATGTTTGCAGACGACGTTAAGCTCTGGCAAGTCATTAAGGGACCGAATGATCAGAGATCCCTTCAAGATAATCTGCACCGACTGCAAGCATGGTCGGGGAAATTGCTTCTAGATTTCAATGTGGAGAAGTGTGCCATCCTTCATCTGCGTCCAACCAACTCTCATTCAAATGAGAGTCTGAGGACTTAGCACCTGAAAGATATAAGGCTCCCCGCAGAATCTTCACAGAAGGATCTCGGGGTTTGGATACAGAACAACCTGAAACCAACACTGCAGTGCCACAAGGCTGCAAAAAACGCCATGGGAGAGTTTACGGCGCATTTGTTCGGCCCCACTTAGAATATGGCATACAAGCATGGCGGTCGTGCCTAGTAAAGGACCAAGCATGCCTCGAACGAGTACAGCGTCGTGCAACAATGCTGGCAAACAGTCTAAAAAGCCAATCCTACACAGAAAGACTGAATTGCCTTAATTTATTCCCTCTGTGTTACAGGCAGCAAAAAGGTGATCTTTTCCTCGTCTACAAGGTAATACATGGCCTTGAGTATGGACTTAAATTTGAGGACATGCTTCAGTGGCACCTTTCACCCAATCTTCGTGGTCACTCGATGAAGTTACGGTCAACAATGTCCAGGCTGAATCTTCGTTCTGAATTTTTCACGCAGAGGGAAGTGGAGCAATGGAATGATCTCCCTCAGTCAGTCGTGGAGGCTACGTCCCCGCAACTCTTCAAGAAAAGCTTGGATGATTATTTGTGTCCCCTGTTTTCCCTCGACAGTCTGAATCTGAACTAATACCCCTGGTCCAGACAAATATTTTCTCTGAGGCAATGCTACTCAAATGAACCAAGTACTGTTTTAATAGTGAACATGTTTTGTTCGTGTACAGTTATTTCTAACGAGCTGACATGTAATCAATAGGGTTTTCAAAGGCTTTGCCTGTTATCCTTACCAAATAAACTGAATAAATAAACTGAATAGGAAACAGACTGTAAACAATAAGCAAATATTGTCAGTAGACGTAAAACCTCCTTCCTTAGTCGCGTAGGAATCTAGAGCTAGGGCACTGACATCCATTCCTCACAAGCGACACAAAATGTGGAATCGGAGCACATATGCCTCCAGCTTTTGTACAGAATTTTCCCGAATACTGCTTCCTTGCCAACTCTGGTAGTGTTAAGAGGCGTTTCTGCATGTTTGCCATCTCACCATGTGTTAAGCCTGTACTTCGCTCTTCCACCACGCCTTCCTTCAGGTACCCTAAACCACACTTCAGGAGTAATTTGGTAAGTTCGGGCCCCATTCTTTATTACTACTCAAACATTTACACATAAATGCGGAAGAACGTTTTTGTATCCGGAATTTGTGTAGTCTTTTTATCCTGCTCAACTTCAGCAGTTTGTCTGTACCAACCCCACACCGCATCTGAGGTGTTGATCACCGCGATTTCAGAAAAGGACGCGGAAGGTTACGGCGCACTTTTCATAAAAATTTGCAGATACAAGGGAAGAGCACAAGTCTTTAAAGTATTCTTTTTCCCAATATATTTTGTCTTTAATGTCCTCCACCAAGGTGAAT